CCTATTAACGATATATTTCTGATCAATTTACATCACAGTATCCAAATCAATGTTTTTTTTAAGGAGTACAATTACTCTTAATTATGAGGTTAGTGGTGGATTTGAAATTCTAAGATATTTATTTCATCTTGTTTAATTAATTGCTTATTTTAGTAATTTAATTTTCTTTCCAAAAATTCATAACACTTTATTTTAAATTTCTAAATTAAATTATTCATCATTATATATTATATTATATTTATTATAAAATAAAATAAAATAAAAAAAGGAAAAAGAAAAGCAACGCATAATTGTTGTTGCTTTGCTTTGTAGGACTTCACTTTTCTTTCCTTTTTTATATTCTTTGTTACTTTGCTTTGCTGGACTCCACTTGATTTGGTTGGCACATGAGATAATGATGCATTAGGAAGTTGCCTACGGAAGGCAACAAGGTTCAGCCAGAGTTTGGGGGTGAGGAAAAGAGGAGCAGAGCTTGTGGGAGAGCTCCAGCTCCAGGCAAAGGCCAAGAGTGTTTATTTTGTAAATATTGAAGCCCTGACTAAATAATTGGGGTAAGTCATATTTAATATTTTTAGTTTTGATTTGATTTGGATACAGTTATATAACTTTCAGATCTTTTGTGTAATAAATATTTTATTCAAATCATCTTATACAATGATTTTCACTACGATATATTAGAATTGTTAGACGAGTCATACCTAATAAGACAGGCCGTGCATCAAACTATAGTTAGTGGTGATGGTTTATGCTATGCGAAGATGATTCATGCATTTCTAGTTTTGATATACAAATCTTCTTGACGATATATTTCTGATCAACTTATATGACATTATCGAAATCAATGATTTTCTAAGGATTGAGTACAATTACTCTTAATTATGAAGTTAGTGGTAGATTTGAAATTCTAAGATATTTATCTCATCGTGTTTAATTAATTGCTTATTTTAGTAATTTAATTTTCATTCCAAAAATTCAAAACACTTTATTTAAAATTTCTAAATTAAATTATTGATCATTAGTCCATATGGATCAACACGTAGTCTTAACCGCTATTCTATAGAGTAATTGTTTTTAAATAAAATATTTTGGTGTACAAACAACAGCATCAATATATAATATTTACACACCACACTGTATTTGAGTACAAATCATTTATGTTGGTCAAATATCAACTGCAGAAGAACAAAAATAGATGTTTAGAAAGTGATTTTGTAGCAATCAATCTAACTGCGTCTGACCGCAGTTTCTGTCACACAGAGTTTAACCAAAAATGGGTAGCTATAACATACTACGAGATAAAAAAACCATTATGTATAGTATAAAAAAAATAAAAAAAAATAAAAAGGGCTGTGCATCTAAACAAGACCTGATGACAAAAATGGATATCTTACCTTCTTTTAAGGGATGGGTTTAAATTTAAATTTGGCTAAAGAAAATGGAAAATGAAGAGGCATATTTGGCTTGCTCATTCAAATGTGTTAATGAATGTAAGGTATATCTACCGCCAGATTCTTTTAATTTTGCCTGGGGAAAGTTCCAAGTTCCATGTATTTATACCTCCCTCTGTGTGTTTTGTCTCTGTGCCATTTTGTAGAATTTGGCTGTGTACTCTGGGCTTTGTTGGTTCTGTTGTTGTTCTAGTTTTGTAATCTTCTCCCAGGTCTGTACTTTCTGTGCTTGCATTTTTCATTGTACTCCTTTATCTGATATTTTAACGAAGTTCTGTGCTTTGAACTAAAAAATAAAAATAATTTTCTGCTACATTCATACATTAATTAATTACTGGTGTTTGGGTACTTAGCAGATTCAGATAGATTCATAGAGAGTTTATGAGATGGGTTTTCTCTCCCAAAAAATTGAAAGAAGTGAGCTTGTAGCTGGTGATCATATCTACACTTGGAGAGCTGCTTTCACTTATTCCCACCATGGTCAGTGATTTACAAAAACTACTCTAACCATTCAAAATCACAACTTGGGCAAAAACCCAAGTTTAATCTCCTACATGTTCCAAATCGTGCCAGTGTTGATTTCATTTTTAGCTAGTCTTGGTTAGAAATTTGTGAAGTGGCATCTGCTATGTCTGAAGATATATATAGTAGTATCTTATAAATTATAATATCAGTAAAGACAGTAAAATTTGTGAATGCAGGCATCTATATTGGAGAAAGCAAAGTCGTTCATTTTGCAGGCACATTTGGCAGCTCCTCTAATCCCTTTCCATGGTCTTCTTTCGGATTCAGTGCTTCAACTTCGAACCCATTATCAGCCTGTCCAAATTTTCCTAACTGTGGATTTCGACATCCTAACAGTGGGGTGGTGCTCTCTTGCTTGGACTGTTTCCTTGCTAATGGGTCCTTGTATCGCTTCGAGTATGGAGTCTCTAAAGCCAAGCTCCTATTCAAACTCAGAGGTGGCACGTGCACGACTGCAGAATCAGAACCGCCAGAACTAGTGATCCACAAGGCCATGTATCTGCTTCAACATGGATTCGGGGACTACAATGTTATGCGTAATAACTGTGAGCATTTTGCAATGTACTGCAAAACTGGACTTCTATGCATTATTGGCGGGAGTGGACAAGCTTTTGTGTTTCAGGTTCCATTCTTGGCATCTGGTACTTGCAAAGTCATAAAATGGCTAGCTTCTGGAGCTGGTATGGGTACGACCATAGCACTATCAACTGGGACATATTTTATGAGCAGGTATTGCAATGATTTAGGCATTCGAGTGGATGTTATGAAGGTCCCAGTGTTGGTCCTCGCTTTAATTCATGATTCAGCAAAACAGTCCTCTTTCAGAGCCAGTCAAACTTCCGATCCAAGTCCCAAAGAATTTACAAAATCAGATGTGCAACTACCCAAAATCGATGAGATTATAAAGGAATTAGAACAACCAACCAACTTTGAATGTGAAAATGATCTTGTCAGAATGGATAATACTCTAACATCTCGCGTTCTGGCCATAAAGAAAAATTTTGTGAAGAAATTGGTTGACATGGATCCCCTTGCACCAAAAGAAATGATTGAACTTGCTAACTCTTTTCTGAAGTTTTTTTCCCAGTTTCCATTCGATGTTGATTCTTTGTACTTCTTGGTGAAGGACTTTATTGTTCAAGCTTATGAGCTAGCATGTGCGAGACAAGAACTGAATTTGTGCTGTTCAGATTTCAACGGCACTCAATTGTTGCAGAAAACTTCTGATTGTATTCAAGTTTTGACTGAAGAGCGCAATCGCCTTGAGCTTTTATGGTTGGAAGTGAAGAAAGGGTTAAAAGCCATTGACGATGAAATTGAGCCATTGAGATCTCGGCTTCCAGTTCTGGAGGGGGAGAGGGAGTCCAAAGGTGCTTATTTTCGTAACATCAAGAGTAATTTGGAACAAACCTCGAAGAAGCTTTCAGATGCCTCTAATCTCATGGATGGGCTCGAGTTGGCATCATTATCTAATTCTTTGGAGCAATCTGCACGACTTGCTGACTTAGAAGCAGCTTTGGGAGATGCCAGAGCCCGACTTCTTTCTTAGAGTCCTATCCTTTTCTCTCTTTATTACCCGTAGCTGAACCATAGCTGGGTAGCTTTTGACAGTTTGATAAGTTCAGTAATTTAGTAGTATGATCTTGTAGTGAGGTGATGTGGGAATCCCCTCTTTATTCAGTAAACAAATATTTTTTTTTTAAACTTTTACGTCTTTTTTAATGCTCTTTCTAGTAAAATTGTCTAATCTTCTCTGGTTCAAGTTTGGGGGTCTCGTCAATCTGTTAATACTTTCCCTGATTCTGGATTTCGACAAAAAGGCACATTAAGGATGACAATCATCAATCTTCTAAACGACAAAGAGATTTGGATTAGTGGTTATTGTCTCTTGCTTGGCACTTATAAACACATCATTCTTAGGCTTAAAAAGAATGTCTTCTAACTGAGATTATGTGATATTAAATAGTTTGCTACAAATTTGTATGCATTTTTCTTTTTTATCTTAATAAAATTGGAATTTGCCTCGGGAAAATGGTTACATAGGCTCATGTGTGGTCGAGGTCTTCCAAGTATTCATACCGTCTCTTAGTCCCTTCAACTACGTCTATGCTATCTACCAGAGGTTGTCTAGAGCAGATTCATTGAGAGAGTTTATGAGAGAGAGAGAGAGGTTTTGCAAAGAATTGAAAGAAGTTAGCGGTTGTGAAAATTTTAAACAACAAAACATAATGCATATGTTTTGGAAAATTTAAATATCATGTACTCAATCTTGTGTACAATCTTATGATTCAGGCTCTTCTCTTACAGAGAAACTGTGGCATCCATGACCGTAAAGATAAAATATATAAAAGATAAAATTTGTGCACGTGAGCAATGATATTTGCAGAATGCCTAGTTGTTCATTTTACCCAGTGGATTTCAACAGCCTGAGTAAGGGTACTGATCTTCATCTACAGGCCAATCATGTCATACAGAATAATTTTGTGCATTTCTCGCAATGTACTGCAAAATTGGTCTTGTATTAAGCGAGGCAGTGATCAAGTTTCTGCCATTCATGGTCTATAAATCTTCACAACTGGGACTTTGTATACCCTTTTAAGCCCGGGTCAGATTGTTTGGCAAAAATAGAAGCCACAGTAATTGGGACATAGTATTTCATAGGCCACTATCCTAACAATTTTGGGTGTTCAAAAGGAGGTAGGTCATTGAGAAGAACATCTTCCATGAACCCTAATTAATTTGTACGATTCTGCTCCGATTCTTAAAATTACCACAAGAAACAAAATCCCACTGTAGCATAGATCAATCAATAATAAATGCACTCATAGTTTCTTTTGAAATAATTTTTTAGGACAATATATTTATTTAAAACAAATTCTCTACTCGGATCATTTGTTCACTTGAATCTGCAGCACAAAAGATCTGACATCAACATGTTAGGCATAGGCAAGAATGTTCTCTCATTGTGTCATTTACTAAATTAGTTTGAAATATAATCAAGTCAACACAAAACATCTTACTAGTGGGGTTCAATCTCAGACTACTCGAATGAATTTAAGCTTACGAATTCAAATTTGTGTAAGAGATGTTGCCACTCAAGAGTTGAACTCCACAAAATGGCTGGCCTGCGGATGTAATCCCACTTCTTTAAGGGACAAATAGAGCTTCTCTGGGCCATGGACAACACTGGGAAAATTGGAGACAAGACTGTAACTTTCGACTTCTAAGCAACCCAACGAATCAACGTAGTCATACAGAGACTGAATTGTTGCAGTACTTTGGAACCTCCTTCCCTTGTGCTCTCCGGTTGGGAACCGCACCAAAACCTAAATGGTCCAAAACATCACATAAAAAAAAAATGTGTCAGATTGAGAGCAATTTAATTTAATTTCACTCTATTTTGTGATGAGTGAAATAGTTCTAAAGAGGAGCACAAAATGTAATTACAAACAAAAAAATAGGCATTACTTGAGTAACATCAGGTCCTTTCTCAGGTTCAGCTCCAAGTGAAAAGGTTTTCTCCTCCCGCATTCTAGCTAATGCAGCCTTCTTCTCAGTAGCTTCACATGCCGCTCTTTCATGAGCCTCTTCTTCTTCCTTCTGCTTCCTTTCAGCTTCAGCAGCTTCCCTTGCCAACCATTCTTGCTCTTCTTTCCTCTGGCGTCCCTTAGCCTGAGATAGGTGGAGAAACCTCATCAAGACCTTGTGGCATCACAATATGCTAATATTTCATTAAAAAGCATAAGCTCTGGGGACTGAGAAAGGGATAAAGAAAATAAGAAATTGAATAATTTGACATACTTGATCAGCTTCAAGTGTTGCTCGATAAGCAGCATCTTGTTCCTCCCTCAAACGCATGTTGGTTCTTCTTTTTGCTGAATCAAGCCTCGTGGCAACAAGAATAAGGGCACTTTCTTCAAGCACTCGCTGCAATATTGTCAGCATTTCCTCAGGAGATTTGGTCCCTTCAACCTGCATGATCAGAGGAAGAAAATAATTAAAAACAATAACAACTGACTTTCTACCTTCAAGACGATATCTAAAGCAAGCTTGTGATTATACTGTTGTTGTTGTCAGTGTGAGTGCATGTGTGTGTGTGTGCGTGCGTGTGTGTGTGAGAGAGAGAGAGAGAGAGAGAGATTTAAACCAAAGAGTTTATTTATTAACACATTAATAAGATTGAAGGTCAATTTCGAGGGAAATCCATCATAATATTTTGTTGTTATAAGCAGGACAAAGTTTTTTCCTTTGCTGTTAATAAGCTGACTTACAATGAAAAGGCTGGGTCTTTTTATGAAGCACAAGTGCTTCTAAAAAGGTGTTGTGTCCACTTCGGACACCGACACTTGTTGAACACTTACCGATATGTGTTTTGACCATTTGAACACATGTATTTGGCCTAGGTGTGCACAAAATTTTGTACACATATTGAGAGTGAGAGAGAGAGAGAGAGAGAGAGAGAGAGAGAGAACTCAAGAAAGAACTGAGAGATATAACTAGCTTGTTGGCAGTGCGAGGTGGCACTAGCAGCAGTGGCTGTTGTGGTGGTTAGTGGGTTCTTTACAGCTGTACAAACATTGCATACAACGGTGTGGAATTGGGTTTTGACCATTTGGAGAAATTGAATAAAAGGTGGAAGCATATCAGACTTATTTTTGAGCAAATAAACCCAAGTACACCTAGAATGGTCATCTATGAAAGTTACATAATAGCGATGCCCAGAAAAAGCCAAAAGAGGAGAAGGACCCCAGATATCAGAGTGAATAAGTTCAAACATACAGGAGGCACGATACATGCGAGGAATATAAGAAGTACGAGTATGTTTAGACAGTTCACAAACACCACAATGAAATTGATGATCCTTGCAAGCTTTATTAAGTGATGGAAAAAGTAAACATAAATAATTAAAGTTTACATGTCCTAAACGAGCATGCCACAAGGCTAAAGTTTGAAAAGAAAACACATAGGAAGACGACGCAGGTAACACAACTGCTTGTAGGCCAGAAGTGGTAGGATGAGAAGGTGGTGGCTCCCCGAAGTAGTATAGCCCGCCGCGCTCAAACCCTCTGTCAAAAATCTTTTTTGAAGTTAGGTCCTGTAACAAGCAATGAGTAGGTAAGAAAATAACAGCACAATGAAAGTTTTTAGCAAGGTGACTTACAGAGAGAAGATTATAAGCAAAACGGGGCACATGTAAGATAGAAATAAGTGTAATATTAGATGACAAGGACACATTACCCTTATGTTGGACATGTGAATTAGACCCATCAGCAAGACATACAGTCTGAGCAGTAGTAGAGATAGGAGAGGATAAACAAGAAAACTCATTGGTCATATGATCATTGGCCCCAGAATCTAATACCCAAGTAGGTGTAGTGCGAACATGAAAGGCTGTAAGAGTACCTGTAGCGAGTGTAGTAGTGGAAAGAACATACACAACTTGTTTTTCAGAATTTCACAACAAGACGTGCTTTGTACCTTAGATTCTTGCCATCATTCTTCAATTTGAAAACCCACTTATTTTTCAGAATTTCCCCCCCCCCCTTAGGCAACTTCACTAAATCATAAGTGTGATTTTCAAGCAAGGAATTCATCTCCTCGTCCATGGTCTTTTTCCAATCACCTTTTTTTGCATGCTCAATTGCTTCTTGGTAGCTCTCGGGCTTCCCTTGATCAGAAATCAACATAAATTCATTGGGAGGATACTTTCTTGAAGGTTGTCGGTCCCTTGTTGATTTCCTCAACTCAAGTTGTGGTGGCGGTTCTTAAGTTGGATGCTCTTCCTCAATTTATGGCTCAACTTCATTAGGATTAGCATCATCCTCTACATTTTCAATGGATGGCTGCACATCTCCCCCATTTTCATAATCCGCCAAAGATGAAGGAGATGGATACATGTTAATGAGATCACTAGTTTTTGGCTCCGGTTAATCACCTTTGCCAAAGTCTTCAATTGTTTGGTCTTCAAGAAACACAACATCACGACTTCGAATGACTTTCTTGTCGATCGGATCCCACAATCTATACCCAAATTCATCATGCCCATAGCCAAGAAAAATACATTGTCTTGACTTACTATCAAGCTTAGACCTCTCATCCTTTGGAATGTGAACAAAGGCTCGACAACCAAACACTCTCAAGTGCTCATAAGACACATCTTCGCCGATCCAAACTCTTTCAGGAACGTCACCATTCAAAGGATAGAAAGGAGATAAATTGATCACATCAACCGTTGTCTTCATTGCCTCACCCTAAAAGGATCTTGACAATTTAGCTTGTGAAAGCAAACACCTTGTTTTGCTTTAGACAGTATGTTGATGCGGTTGAGAATCAATTAGAAAAAAGCATTAAGGCTCTAAGGATTGTCCGAGGACGTGAGTATCTATTTGAGCAATTTAAAGTGCTCTGTGAGGAAAAAGGAGTTATCAGGCAATTGACAATTCCTAGGACTCCGCAACAAAATGGTGTAGCGGAGAGAAGGAATCGCACATTGCTTGACATGGTTAGATCAATGATGGAGCAAGCTAATCTTCCAATTTCTTATTGGGGAGATGCTTTGTTGACTGCTGCCTACGTCCTTAACCGTGTGCCTCCAAATCAGTTCCTTCCACCCCATATGAGATGTGGACTGGCAAAAAGCCTGATTTGGGCAATTTGCGGCCTTGGGGTTCAGCAGCTTACATACACAACGCTTCTCATAAGTTTGGGAAGTTGGGCCCTAGAGGAAAGAAGTGTATCTTCATTCGCTATAGTGAGCATTCTAAGGGCTATGTGTTTGTTGGGGAGCATCCGGATGGAAGTGTGACTGAAATTGAGTCACGAGATGTGGATTTCCTAGAGGAGGATTTCCCTAGCAGAGGTGAGGTAACTAGAGAAGTAGAACTCTATGAGATGGAGGATCTACTTGAAGGCGCACCTAGTAGCTTAGTAGAGAATGAGGAAATAATTCCTCAAGCTCCTAGGGACAGTGGGAGCGATCTACCTACCCATGGATTAGATCCAATGGATGAGGATTCTCAGGATTCTCAACTACATAGAAGCAAACGTGGAGCTATACCCCGTCGTCGTTTTGAGATTGAAGGGGAAGCATTCATGATTGCTCCGAGCGATGAGATGGAGCCTCAGAATCTCAAAAAGGCTCTCTCATCCCCTACTAGTAAAGAATGGAGTACTGCAATGGATGAAGAAATAGAGTCTATGAAGAAAAATCATGTCTGGGACTTGGTTGATTTGCCGCCAGGGCGCAAGACTATTGGGAACAAATGGGTTCTCAAAATCAAGTGCAAGGCAGATGGTTCCATAGAAAGGTATAAGGCTCGCCTAGTGGCGAAAGGTTACACCCAACGAGAGGGTCTGGACTATGAGGAAACTTTTTCACCAGTTGTAAGGTTTGCCTCTATTCGCCTAATCCTGGCCATAGTAGCTCAGTTGGACTTAGAGCTATATCAGATGGACGTTAAAACTGCATTTCTCAATGGAGAATTGGATGAAGAGATCTATATGGATCATCCAGAAGGCTTTGTGGCAGTAGGTCAGGAGCGCAAAGTTTGCAAGCTTCAACGATCTATTTATGGCTTAAAGCAATCATCCAGACAGTGGAATCTGAGATTTCATCGAGCCATTGTTTCTAATGGGTTTACGATGATTGATGAAGATCACTGTGTGTACGTCAAGTGGTCCAAGGACATTTTTTTGATATTGTCATTATATGTAGATGATATATTATTGGCTGGAAATGACAAGGAGATGATTGTCGCCACTAAAATGTGGTTGTTCTCTACATTTAAGATGAAGGACATGGGTGAGGCGAGCTATGTGCTCGGTGTTAAGATCCTTAGGGATCGCTCTAGGAGACTTCTTCGTTTGTCTCAGGAGACTTACATTTAGACTATTCTTGAGCGGTTCCAGATGCAGAGCTGCAAACCCATTGACACTCTTGTTGCAAAAGGCGAGAGCCTAAGTCTTGATATGGGTCCTAAGACTCAAGAAGAAAATGAAAAGATGGCCCGTGTTCCCTATGCAAATTCTGTTGGAAGCTTGATGTATGCTATGATGTGTACACGTCCAGACATTTGTTATGCAGTCGGATTGGTGAGTCGTTACCAATCCAACCCAGGACCAGCTCATTGGAAAGCAGTTAAGAGGATATTACGATATCTTAGAGGGACTGCAGATTACACACTTTGCTACCAGAGTTTAGATCTACATCTAGTTGGCTACTGTGATGCTGATTGGGGAGGAGACCTAGATGAGCGTAAGTCTACTTTAGGATATGCTTTCATGCTTAGCTATAGCGACCTCGGTCTTTTCTCTTTAAATTATTGTATCCGGACTTAGGTTCCGTTTCAGGATATGCTTTCATGCTTAGCGATGGTGCTATTTCTTGGAGCAGTAAGAAGCAATCCTGTATCGCCTTATCGACTATGGAGGCTGAGTTTGTGGCTTGTTCATCTGCCGTTCAGGAAGCTGTGTGGTTGAGGAGATTCCTTCAGCATTTGGATGCTATCACACACACTTCAGACCCTGTGACTATCCATTGTGACAGCATGGTTGCACTCGCTTATGCTAAGGATCCTAAATACCACGGCAGAACCAAACACATTGATGTGAGGTTCAACTTTATCAGAGACATTTCGGCGCAGAAAGAAGTGATCCTGCAGCACATCCCTACGAGTCGCATGGTTGCGGACCCTTTGACTAAGCCCATTGCTAGAGATGTTTATCTTACTCATGTTAGGGCTTTAGGACTACGTAGGTGGTGATATTTTTATGTGTATTCAGTTGAACTCATTTTGTTTGGGGGGATATTTATGCCATTAGTATTCATATTTGTTTCTATTACACATTTATGTTTCCTACTTTTAGCAATGGTGTGTGAATTAGCATACACAAAATAATTAAATTGATGTTAGCAGGCAAGATTGGCTCACTCACACGAGCAATCACCCTTAGTGCTAGGTAGCGAGTAAGGATGAGACTAGAAGCTAAAATTATCCACTAGCTATGTCTCCTTGGTTGGAGCCAAGATGAGGTCTTGTTAGAGACCGACCACGGATATGAGAGTACCCACTTTTTCCATGATGTGCCTATTATGGATAGCCAGATGCAAGATCTCATTTGATGCCTGAGAGGCGAGCAAATAGAGAATTTGAGTTAGACGCTAGGAAGCGACTTGTGCACTTAAGGGCGACTAGACTAAGATCTGTATAGTGTGTGAGTTTAACATCACTCTTTGGAAGAGTTACTCCACTATAACGTGCATTCATACTGCATGTGCTTATTGACCCGTTAGTGATGTGAAAGAATGGATCCCTGCTTCTTCACTGTGTGAGTCCTAAAAGTCATTTTTCCCTAAATGACTTCACTTTGTGCCTTTTGTGACCTTTGACTATGTCATAAGATGAGGAGTTGATGTTCAACTACTTTGGTATGTTGCCTGCGGTCATGTATGATTTGGCTTTAAGGGACATTACTGGGAAAGCGGTCAATTTCAAATTGAATGATATGAGGGTGAAGGGAAGATCATCTAGTTCGACATCTCTGCTCTATATTCACTGTCGATAACTCACATCGCTCTTTATAGGATGCTAATTGGGTGTGACTATAATGTGGGACCTAGGAGAGTCAAACATGCTCTTTGATGGATTAGAGATGTTTTTGGACTGATGTAGCTAGATGGGTCTGGGTACATGAGACACTATTTCTGTTCTTTTTGGGTTGATGTCTCTATGCTGACTCATATTGAGTTTCTAGTATAGAGCTCCCACTTGCAGGTGTTCTCAGCGGTCGCACGGTGCATTGGCTAGTATGAGATTGTTCACTTTTTGGGGAGATTGAGATAGAGATGTAGCAGTGTCATGCCAACTTATGTGCGAGTGGGAGATGTTGGAAATGGGCGCCCATGTGGCATGACCTTTTTCAGCCTTTTGAACCTTATCCAAATGGGTTTTGAAGTTGAATTCAAACCTATTTGGATAGCCACTCAGGATCATATAACTAATATGGATAAATGAGATAAATAGATTATATATCTGATATATGGGATATGGGTGATTAAGAGAAAAATAACGTATGTTTGAGTTTTTCCCATATATTGACTATCTCCCAAAAACAACGATCAAAGCCATTTGCACTGTGATTTGTGTGGGTGACATTCACTATTGTAATATCACCCTATTGCTAGGTTGATTGACCAGATTCAGGAAGCACGTGATTTACCCACGAGATCCTTCAATTCAGACTCTGTTTGAAAGGTATGACCATAATTTTTATTCCGCTGTGTTATACTTTGTTTACACCATCTCGAACAAAATTTATCATTTTCAACGAAAATCA